TTGGAAGCAGCTAGAACAAAAAATTTTTCACTGTTAAATAGGGCATTGTTTACACTATATATACCGCTATTCAAAACAGAAAATTTCGTACCTACGAGTTTTTCAGAAAATGCCGCCTAAATGCCCACTGTGTTACGTTGACGTTTCATGTGATTGAAAACTTAGAAACATAGAAGACGGGATGATGTGATTAGTAAGGGTCTTTCTCGTTCGCACGTCTTCCACGCTACTCGAATGTGACTTCTATATGCCTGCCAGTAGATACACTGAAGACATGTAGAACACATCTATTGTTTTGAAGACGCAAATGGTCTACAAATGGTCAGTAAGTATAAATCGGTCTGATATTTTATTTGAAAAGAAGACTTATAAACAAGCACATATAACCGGTCATAAAAGTTGTTATTCGGGATATCTTGGGTGAGAAAGATATAACTGAGCAACGAACCGCTTCAAACAGTTCGGGAAGACGGTGCCGTGTCTGCCCACGAAATAAAGATGGAAAAAGACGAGATCATTGGGTGAAATGCGGTTTCACTTTTACTAAATCGTGAATGGACGTGTTTTACTTTTGTTATAAGACATATACATTTCTTGTTCTTCGCTGAAATACAGTGAAGGAACATGTAATAGTGACCTTTCGTTAGATCAATTAAAACGAGCCGTTGCTCATAATTTACCATATTTTACGCTACGTTTTGATAATGATCTCGATCTGCGTAATTTTCCATTAGGGATTTATACTCGAGATAAAATTTGATAACATCTTACGGGAAAATGGAGTTAAAATGCACAAGTTCTCACTTATGCAATACGTGGGAAGACAACTAAAATTAGGAGTGTAGACGATACATGTACATAAACATACAGGAATAAAATGAAAACATCATTTAATTTTTTGAAAAGTCGATATGAATACGAAGTTAGATCAAATTTTTTTATATTTTAAAACAGTACTTTTTCTTCGTACTAACTTTATTTATTCCAAACGTTTCGATTGATAGTTCAACCTTCCTCAGTGGATACAAACATTAAATTAATTAAAATTACATAAACAAAACAATTTAAACAGAAAACTTTAACATAGGGATATTTTTCCCGTTTTTATTTTTATATAATATATACAGTCGATAATAAAAAATTATAGTTTGACAAGCATCTTTAACATATCATATGTATATCCTACTTTTCTTTTCTTTTTTACTTTTCTCCTCGAGGGAACTACTCCAACTGATCCAGCGCTTTCGACTAGAGGTCTGCGGGATCGTCCCGGTCCCGCGGGATTTATTACGGGACCAAACTTCACAGGACCGAGACCTAGAGATCTGCGAGACGGTCCCGTGGAACTTTTAATAGGGCCGGGACCGGGTTTCATTGAAAATAGTCTTGTATGAAGTATAAAGATTTCTCAGTTTCTGAGCCTGTTT